GGGCTCCATCCTCAGTCTACACTGACTCTCTTGGCTGTAAACTCTGTCTATATAGTGATGACTCCCAAGTTGATTTTACCCTCCCTGGACCTCTTCCTCTAACTTTAAACTTATGCATTCAATGACCTGCTTGCCATCTCCAACTGGCGTGTAACAGGTATGTCAGAATCAACACGTGCACAACCAAGCACTGGTATGCATGTCACCTGTCTCAGCCCAAAGCCCTGCTTCTCCTGTGTTTCCCCCACTTCCGTAAATGCCAGCTTCATCCTTACAATTGCTCAGGCCCAAACTCTGGAGTTACGCTGCACTCTTCTCTTTTTCACACCCTATATCTGAACTGCCCACCAGTCCTGTTGACTCTACCTTCAGGCTATAGCCAGAATCCAACCTTGTATCTTGTCCTCTGCTGCCACCACCCTGGGTCCAGCCACCATCACCTCTTGCCTGTGTCACTGCAGGGGCCTCCTTACCGGTCTCCCTGCCTCTGCTCTTTTCCTCTTTAGCTCACTCTCAACACAGCAGCCAAGTGATCTCGTTAGACTATAGATCACTCCTATCACTTCTCTGCTAAAAACCCTGCAGTGGCTCCGTCTCACTCAGAGTGAAAGCCAGCATCCCTAAGGTCACCTCCAGGTCCCACATCATCTGGCCCTACATGACCATGCTGGTCTCATCTCCTTCAGTCCCTCTCGCCCTCCACTCCAGCTGCATCCTGGCTCATGCTGGGTGCACCCCAGTTTAGACCCTTCTCATTCACTGTTTTCTCTCCTGGAAGAGTCTTCTTCCGGCTCTCTCCATGGCTGCCTGCCTCACTGCCTCTGGTCATTTTCAAATGTCACTTTCTCTAGGGGGCCTTCCCTGGCTTATTTAAAATCTCATCACCCATGCACCTACCCCTGGTGTTCATCTACCCCCTTCTCTTCTTTATTCTTCTCCATGGTACATCTCCAGCTATCATTTCACTTATTTATTTCCTTTATCTTATGTCTCTTGCCACTGGACTGTAAGCCTCTCTGAGTTTTCCTGTCTCTGCTAGTGAAATGCAGAAAGCCTGCCTGCCCATCACACAGGGCTGCTGGGCAGGTTGGGAAGAACGACGTCTGAAGGAGCAGCGTGGATAAGATCTTGTCATTTACCGCAGCGTCTGGCCCTGACTGAGTGCCAGAGCTTTGCATGTAGGACTATCTCATTTAATTCTCACATAAAATCAATGAGATATGAACTCATATTACAAATCTGAGAAAACTGAAGAGCACCCAAAAAGTTAAGTGAATTACTCACCAGCTAGTAAACAATAGAGCCAGGCTTTGACCCCAGGCATTTTTCCCCACTGTGTTCTCCTGGCATAAAATAAATGCTTTAATAACTGATTGGAGTAATGGAAAGAATTTGACCTGAAGTGCAACTTCTATCTCCAGACTACTCTTCTCTTGACTGTTAATCGATGTAGCATTTCCCTGATGTAATCCCGCCCCCCTTCCCTTCAACACAAACAGGCAGAGATTCCTGTCTTCTAAGAGAAAAAGGTATTTTCAGTCACTCCTCCATCTGCCCCCTCCCCACCCAAGGAAGGAAACTCTATCATACATCCCTGAGGTTTTTGTTACGTGGTCTAACCAAATCCAGATGGTTGGTTTTCTCAAGTTCAGTCCTCATACTTCGTAAAGTATTTGTAGTTATCTCTTGAAACAAATTCTGGACTTAATTGCAAACACCGGCTTCCCAAATAACTTATTCCATGCTCTTCTGCCTTGTTTGTGTTATGGCCTTTCTGTGCTAATGAATTTGTAAATGTGGTTTAATTACTGTTTACCGAAAAATAGCTGCACACACAGATCAGTCTCAGTGGGAGACTTAGCCAAAATGTTGAGGCAATTTGTTTCTAGTGCAAAAGGCAGTTAATAAATGAGAAGCACTTTTTAAACATTGGGAAAGCAACTTAAGTTTAGTTTTGAAGAAATAACGCTTTCTGTATCTAGGGAAATAAATCATTCTTTAAGGGTATAGATTTAAATAGCAAAATGGCATTTTTCCCCAAAGCTACACACAAGCAATTTGTACATAACCAGATTATAACAACGGTGAGTTGATTGAAAACCACACCAAAGAGCTATATCCTAAAGAACCTCCCAGAAGGAAAATTTGAAATTACATGTAAATTCCATAAAATGTTTCAGAACTCCATAAACCCATGTATTATGTATTACCTCATGTTTCTAAATTCTGGCTTCAGGCAAATTGCTAACTTAGCAACTAAATGACAGCTTTAAAATTCTAATACAAACCAGCCTCTCTAACTTTATTTTTTTAATCTCCAGGGGAAAAAAAAAAGGACACAGAGGAAAGTGAAAGATATTGGAATGTTCAATTTATAAATTCTGCTTCTGCTCCATTTGGAGTTCTAGTTTAATTTTGCTTTTGCATAAAATGGTGTTTGCTTGATTCTGCATAAAGAGGGAACTCTGAAAGGAAGTTCGTTCCTGCAGCTGTTGGCCACGCTAATAGGAAGCATGCTCCATCCTCCCTACACTTTGGGGCGCCTGCACATGAGTGGGGCACAGCCAGGTTCTGTCTCCAACGCAGAACTCAGAAAACAAAATTAATCAACTTGGCAATTAACAGTTCTCATTATTGCCTGAACTATGGATGTTCCAAAAGAAGCTTGAGCCAGTGTGAGACACAAACACAGCCCTGTAGGGATTTATTATTAGCGAGGCCACCAGACAGGCAATTCAGTATAAGATATCCTGAGACCAAGTCTTAACTACCAGATGGCTTTTAGTGTGTCCCATAGCATTCTGAAAACCAAGTCCTCATGTTTCTGGCAAAAAGCTTCATTTTCCAAGACTAGTCTCTATTTCCATGTTGCAGCTGCCTTTCTATCAGTCATCCCCGCATTTAGTAGCTCACCGCGTGCTATTGTGTTGGGCATGGCAAGACGAAGCAGCCCCGTGGAGACTCTGCCTCCCTCAAGGGGCTGACCACGTAGCAGGAGGGAGAGAGAGAGGAACAAAGCACCATAACGCATAAAATCGCAAAGAAAATCCGCAGTCGTGATTAAAATGGGAATATGTTGTCTTTCAGATAGTCCGTACTTTTCCAAGCCTTTCAGGACTTTTTCCAATAGAATAAAAATGCAAAATATAAGTGCAGAGCGCCTTTATGAGACCACACTTAAATCATACGACTCCATAACTAGGAATGAAGCTCAGGTATCACCTCCTCCAAGAACCGCCCACGATAGCGCCCTGCCCCCGTGGCGTGGGCGTCCCTCCTAGGTGCTGCCACTGCGCTCACTGCCACGCTGGACACGCGTGTGGCGGTGGCAAGGGAAAGGGCAGAGTTCAGAAAGTCTTTGCTCACAAAGGGAACCTGCGGCCCCTGCCCACAGGAATTTAGGATCCCTAGATGTCCTCCGAGTAGATATCTGAGGGCCAGCTCACAGATCACTTGAAACTCACTCACCAGCTTTCGGAAAGGCTGACAAAACTTGCCTGGTAATGACCTACGTTCTGCAAAGCTGGCAGGAGGGCAACATTCTAGATCCTACCGTTCAGTAGAATTTTTACCTTATTATTTCACTAAGGCAGCAGGAGTCTCTCCCCAGAGAGGCACCCCAAAAGGTTAATCTCAGACTGAACAGAGAGGATGAATGAGTCCTCGCTGTACCTTCAAGATCTGTTCGTTGGATGCCTTGTCATCAGGGACACATACAAACGGATGAACACAGAACTGCTCTATTGACCACGAAATGTTGCTTATCTATCATATTGTCCCCTCGCTGTCACCACCACCCCTGACACACACAGCTGGGTGCCCTTAGGAAGGAGGGGACATGTCTTATTCTTTGCATCCAAAGCACCAGACGTGTCCAGTGGTGCTGCTGGGCAAATGGCTGTGAATGGCTGTGTGACTGGGAAGATGGCGCTTGCAGGGATTTCCCCATCTAGTAAAAGTCCTCTATTCCCCACACTATATTAAGTTAAATATATATATATATTTATATAATATATGTTATATATTTATATATATGTTATATATATAACAAAAGGGTGTGCATTCTTTTTTTAAATGCAAATGTATTAAAACATATGTTAATAGCATATTTAAATAAGTATGCATACAAAACATCTGGGAGAATATGCACCAAACATTAGCAGTGGTTATCTCTAAGGATTAGGATTTGAAATGATGCTGACTTTTTTCTTTTATGCGTCACTGTGTTGTTTTCTTGTTTTACTGTGAATGTCTGTTCCTGTTATGATAAGAAAATACAAAGTTCTTTGTATTTTAAAAAGGAAAGTGTGGCCTATTACATAAATCACAATCCCATAAGATGCAAATAATTCTATGAACCGTCATCTTTACGATCTCAACCCAAGGTCATCAGTGATTTACCCTGTGAATTTAAATTACTGAACTAGCTCGGTGGTGTTTAGTGGTATTAGATAGGTTTGTTTCCATTTTCCTTCCTCATGTCTGTGTTTATAATAGTCAGAAGGTACCCAAGCAGCACTTTACTTGGAAATACTGTAGCCATAAAACATGCTAAACTCTCTTTTTTGGTCTCTCTCTCTCTCTCTTCCTTTTCTTTAATCGTCCCTGCTAATTAGAACCGCAGCCTTCTTAAATGCAGGCTCAACCTCTTGCAAACTGATAAACAAACCAGAACTAAATAACCAATTAATTCTCCCTCCCTCCTCTCTCCTCCCCTATCCTCTCCCCCTCCCTCTCCCTCTGGATCTTTGCTTTCAGGCTGGCTCTGTAGAAAAGAAATATCAATTTTCTGGTTAGTGATATTTCTGTCCTGCATATCTACTGGCCTGTGTTTCTATTATTTTGTTTGGCTGCCTGCTATGTTGCAAAACCTAGACAACGTTATTGGACTAGTATAAAGTTTGTTTTTTCTTTTCCCCAAAGGAACAATCACAAATTATAAAACGTGCTTCTAAAGAGCAGCTCTAAAAAATCACATATGCTTTCTTTTCTGTCTGCAGCTGAACCCTCGCTGCCAGGATGGGCAAACAGAACAGCAAGCTGCGCCCCGAGGTCATGCAGGACTTGCTGGAGAGCACGGACTTCACGGAGCACGAGATCCAGGAATGGTACAAAGGCTTCTTGAGAGACTGCCCCAGCGGACATTTGTCAATGGAGGAGTTTAAGAAAATATACGGGAACTTTTTCCCTTACGGGGATGCTTCCAAATTCGCAGAGCACGTCTTCCGCACCTTCGACGCCAATGGTGATGGGACAATAGACTTTAGAGAATTCATCATCGCCCTGAGTGTGACTTCGAGGGGGAAGCTGGAGCAGAAGCTGAAATGGGCCTTCAGCATGTACGACCTAGATGGAAACGGCTACATCAGCAAGGCGGAGATGCTAGAAATCGTGCAGGTATGTAGCCCTGGCCCTTTAAGAGCAAAAGAGCGTGTGTCACCAGTGAGGATTGGAAGGCACACAGTGTAGCAGGTGCAGAAGTGGCAAACGGGTGGGTCTCCAGGGCACTGTATTTGGCCGACCCAGTGTTTTTGAAAATTTTGAACCCACATTACAATACAGGGAGGCAGTACGTAAAAATCCACACTGGTTGGTATCTCTTGAAAACCTAGCAGCTCTGGCCACCCCGGGCCCACCCTCTTGCCTGTTACTAGTCACCTGGGGCTTTGTGGGGATCCCCACACTACAGATGAACATGCTCATTATGGCCACTCCATTGACTGATTGCAATGACCTGCCTGGACTTGGGCCTTTGGGGTTCTATCCCCTAGACTGGTGATCGGTAATCAAGCTCCAGCCTGGGTTCAAATCATGCATCATTCATTCACTACCACTATGACTGTGATCAAGCTAGTTCACCTAAGTGAACCTCAGTGTCCTCATCTATAAAATAGAGCTACCAGTGGTACCCAGCCATGTCGTGGGGCTATTCTAAGGTGAAGTGTGACTCTCCATGTTGAATGCCTGGTATGGTGCCAGCCATACTGAAAGCTCATCATCATCACCATCATTAATTTACAACTTTATCAGACTGTTGAATGACAGCAAGGATCCGACTCTGGGCCCCACCCATCAGAGATGCACACACTGTAGAATGGAGGCCTCCCTCGCTGTAGTAAGAGGTGCTCCCTGCTATTTCCTTCAAGCACGCTCCCAGAGCAAGTTTCCTGAGCAGAACAGAAGAATGGGCCCCAGTGTTGGCTACATTTTCCTGTGGGCCCACAGCACATGTGGGGAGGCGGGGAGACAGGGTAAGGAGTTCGGGTGGTGGCAATGACAGGGGGCTCAGCAGTGGGTGGGACACAGAGACAATACTAAGGAGACAGAGACAGGACTCAGGGCCTCAGCTGCAGGCAGCAAGAAGGACTAGGTGGTGGGGAGGCTGGCAGGCAAGTGGGACGCAGTAGGGAAGCATCTGCCAGAGACAGCAGGTCCAAGAGAGTGGGCCTTTGGCTTCCTGGAGGGCTTGTCCCAAGGGCCAACACTCATCCCAGGACAGCTGGGTAGATGTCCTGCAGAGGGAGAGCTGCAGCCCCTGGGAGAGCTGTTGGGGTGCTGGACAGGTGGGGAACATAATACAAGGAGACAAAAAAGAACTCAGCCACTGGTGAGGAGGAGCGTGGGGTACAGTGGTACTTGCCTACAAAAAAACTACAGGGAACCTGGTTTGGAAATAGGGAGGGAGCTCAAAAGAGACTTGCAAGATGACCTGTTAGTGGCCTTGAAGCTGAGTCCCAAGGCCTGCTCCCAGGCTAGTGGGACTGAAGCCACATGGGCAGTTAAAGTGACAACTGCAAACATCAGCAAGATGCAGAAGCAGGTGTCCAAAGTGACCCTCCTTATCCCTGGGACTCTCCAGGATCTGTTTCTTCTTTCTGGTTGGGCCACCAGTGGCTTCTCCTTCATCCAGAGCAGTAACTATCTGAATAAATTGTGTTAAATTAGTCTCTCAGAGATGTAGCTCTTAAAATAAAAATAAAGGATCACTCTCTTCCCCTGAAGATAAACATATGCAAAATAAAACATCTTCGGTAAAAATATGGGCAGTATAGAAAAATATAAAAGATAAAGAGAAATTTTATCCATAATTCCACCCTACCTATAAAGAGAATCACTGATAATAATTTTTAATATATCTTTCCTGATATAAATTTGATATAAAATTTCCTGATATAAAAATGATATATATATTTCCATGCATTTAAAAATATCTAATGGGCCGGGCGCTGTGGCTCACGCCTGTAATCCTAGCTCTTTGGGAGGCCGAGGCGGGTGGATCGTTGGAGCTCAGAAGTTCAAGACCAGCCTGAGCAAGAGCTGAGACCCCGTCTCTACTAAAAAAAAAAAAAAAAAAAAATTAAAAAAAAAATAAATAAATAAAAAATAAAAATAAAAATATCTAATGGATTTTACAATATATATGAAGTTTTCTATCTTGCCTTTTTCACTTAATATAATAACACAAGTATTTTTCATGGTATAAAAACTTTAATAAAGCTATTTTAATGGCTGCATGATAGTCCTACAGCATATTATAATTTTCTTAATTTCCCCTATTGTTGGATATTTAGGTTATTTCCAGTCTTTATTATTATATACAATACCATAACTTTTAAATATAAAATAAATCAGTAATCCTCATGCATAAAGTTTTTGTGTATTTAGAATTATTCCCTTAGAATGCAATGCAGTGGCCCAGAAGTGCAATTACTGGGCCAAAGGGTATGAGCATTTCTAAGGCTCTGGATACACTCTGTCAAATTCTGTACATTCCCAAATGTACCCTCAAAGGGGGTGAAGGGTTGTTCCCATATCATCGCATTTTCCTGATTTTTCCTAAAATTGCAATTAAAATTTAATTAATTTAATCTTAATTAAAAATTAAAATTATATTAAAATTTAAAGGGTGATTCATTTTAATTAGCTTCATCTTGTGTTCTTTTTTCATCTGGGAATGCTGTGCTCCACCCCTCTGTAGTAAAGGGATGGAATATTCACCTTTTGGAGAAAATTACTTCCTGGCTGTAATCTAACAAAAAAATTCTCATTAGCCACCATGATATCTTCTCAAACACTTCTGCCCAGTGGTCCTGGCATCATCAGCCAATGGTTTCGTGGCCAGTGTTGATGTAGGGAGGAACCTTCAGACCTTGTAGGCTTGTGTGAATTTTACTCATAGATGAATGTGGTGGCTCACGCCTGTAATCCTAGCACTTTAGTTCAAGACCAGCCTGGGTGGGCAACACAGCAAGACCCCATCTCCACAAAAAATTAAAAAAGAAAATGAAAGAATCATCCACGCATTCATTCATCACCTCCTAAGAACTTGGCCCTGGAAACAAACAGTCTAGGGAGGAAACTAGAACTATCTCTATGCCTTGGAATCCAGTCTGCAAGAGCAGGAAGATTGCAGAGAACGTGAAGAAGGCACTAGTAGACCCTCCATCAGCACCTCCTGACTTATTCTACCATGTTCCTTATGGGAAGGAACAAGTGATCATAAAGGGGAAGATCCTTCAACAGAGGCATTTTCTTCACTGTGAATTACCTTGGTCCATGCACAGGCCTACACACAGGAAGTTTCCAGGCCACAGCTGTAAGGACACTCATCCCTTAAGAAACGCTTTATACACTTGCAGCTCTAAAGAAGCCTGCAAGTGGAGGCTCAAATTCCCTAAACTGTTTCCTAGAGCGTTAAGCCCTGATGATTAATATTCATGACCCCAAAAAGGAAATATTGCAGCACCCTGAGGCGACTTCAGAATCATCAAAGAGATTAAATTAAATTGAGAACCATTTTCATATTAAAGGTTATTTTATTCTATTTGGCTACTTCGAAAACTGACAATTCATGTATTCCACCACATTCTTATGCTAATCTCCCTGCTTTCAATTATTCTGGATGAATTGGAATATACTGCGCGATCTTACTATACTTCCCATTCTATTTTTCTTTTCTTCCTTTTTTTCCTCTCCCTCTTTGAAAGCCCACATTCCTCGGGCCTGGTCACTGTGGCAGGAAGCTCTGTTCCTTTTTGTGGACCTTTTTTCTTTGTTCTAGCTGGTTCGCAGCATTTAGGAGAACGTTCTGTTGCTTCAGAAGAGTCACTGTCTTTTCGTTTTTTATTTTGTGCCTGGGTAAATGTTTAGAAAGTTAGATGAGGTGGAGTCAAGCTGCAGACCAGGAGAACCAGAAACAGATTAAGGTTCTGTTTGTTAACGTGTAACTTGTAGCTTGATAACAAGTGGTGATACACAAATTCTTAGCTGAATCTCTGTCTCTCCATGACTCAGAAATTCAAGCAACTAATGAAAAATGCAAATTCATGATTGTTCACCTACAAACAATAATAATGGGTTAAAACAGGTTTATAATTAGGCTTCACAATGAATGGGGTGTAGGAATTCAACTCACAAATTTTCTAGCTGTTCTTCCCAGATGTCCTTTCCAGTGGTTTAGCTTTGGTATCCAAAGAATAATATTTGTAGTGACAAGCTGGAATTCTTTTGTATTTCCTAACATTAGTAGAAAAGACTCTAAAATGTATGAGACTACTGTGAATTCTGTGTAGCACTGAAATATACCACATAAGTTTGCTACAGCTGCTATAACAACGCACAAGAAATTTAGTGGCTTAAAACCACACAAATGTATTATCTTACAGTTCTGGAGGTCACAGGTCTAAAATCAGTTTCACTGGACTAAAATTAAGGTTTCCTCAAGGCATATTCCTACTGGAGGCTTGTGAGGAGAATGCTTTTTCTGGCTTTTTCCAGCTTCTAGAAGCTTCCTGAGTTCCCTTGGCCCATGGCTCTCTTCATCCAAATTCAAAGTCAGCAACAGCAGGTGGAGTCCATCTCATGACCTCCACCCACACATCTTACTCTCTGCCACTTAGAAAGAGCCTTGTGGTTACACTGGCACTCTGTGATAAGCCAGGAGAATCCTCCCACTTCAATATCCTTAATCCAGTCACAATCTGCCAAGTTTCTTTTACTACGCAAGGTAACATATTCACAGGTTCCAGGGACGAGGGCATATGGACATCTTTGTGGGACTGTCATTCAGTCTACCACAAATGCCAAAATCAGTTGTGCTCCTTTTTAAAGAAAATATTTTTGTGCTATATCAACATCTGGATGAATGAGCAAAACCATATGCAAATTTATTTTTAGAGCCTCAGATGAACATTTTTACATTCATGTGTTTGTTTTTTTAAGTGACAAATTTAGGAACATGATTTAGGCTTGCTATTTTATTATTGCATCAAAAATAATCTCTCAGGAGTCTTAGACCAGATAACAACCCTGACCTTTCCTCGTCTTGCAGCAGATTCTCTCCTTCAGCCCACCACTGCAGGAGGAAGGAGAATTCTTCTTGCCCTTCACAGTCCCTG